CATATTATAATTAAAGAAGAAAATGACATAAATTCATACTTTCTGAGTCATAACTAGCCAAATCAAACCAAACCAAACCAAACTAAATCAAAGGCTCAAGTCCCATCAAATAGAGTCAGTTACATAAATTCTTCTTTTCCACTCGACTTTATTAATGGTAATTTTGTTAGTCAAATTAAGGAGATTCATATCTCTATTTATTATGCTAGCACACGTCAATCTTGATCTTTCCCTTCTCCTAACACTTCTTTCTACTGTCACTGTATCACATCTTTTGATTACTACCTCTGTTGGTTTCCATTGTATATTCCAAACCATCTCAATATATTATCTCTTAAATAATCTTCTATCGGTATTACTCCTACCCATTCACAAATATATTTATTCCTAATTCTATCTTTTCTAGTTTTGTTACACATCCACCATAGCATCCTTATCTTAATAACACTTATCTTATCTACATGTTGTTTCTTAGTTGCCCAACATTCTGTTCCATACAACATCGTTGGTCTAATAGCCGTTTTATAAAACTTTCATTTTAGTCTAGTAGTTACTCATTTATCGCACAGTACCCGAGACGCACTCCTCCACTTAAGCCACCCTGCCTTAATTCTATGGACCACATTCATTCCAATCTCCCTAGCCGTTTTGATAATTGATCCTAAATAACGAAAATTTTCACTCATAGATAGCTCTTAGTTCTCAATCTTCACTTTTCTTCTCATTCTATTATTAATGTTACTAAAATTACGCTCCATGTACTCTGTATTAATTCTACTTATCCTAAATCTTTTAGATTCAAGTGTTTCTCTCTAAATCTTTTAGGTACTCATTTGTCGCACAGTACCCGAGACGCACTCCTCCACTTAAGCCAGCCCGCCTTAATTCTACGGACCGCATCCGTTCCAATCTCCCTAGTCGTTTTGATAATTGATTCTAAATAACGAAAATGTTCACTCATAGGTAGTTCGTAGTTCATAGTTCTTAGTTCTCAATCTTCACTTTTTTTCTCGTTCTATTGTTACTATTACTAAAATTACGCTCTATGTACTCTGTATTAATTCTAGTTATCCTAAATTTTTTAGATTCAAGTATTTTTTTCTAAATTTCCAACTTAGTATTAACTCTTTCTCTAGTCTCATCCATTAACACGATATTATTTGTAAAAAGCGTATATTATGAGACATCATCCTAAATATTTCTCATCAATTCATCCATAATTAAAGCAAAAATATCTCATGAGTCATACCTTTAAAAAAAATTAAAAAAAAAAAATCATAACCAAACACACATGAGGCATAACTAAAAATCTCATGAGTCATAATTAAAATGTAATATCATAATTAAAGAAGAAAATTAGTCATAATTATAAAAATAATATAACTAATGATACATATGATGCATTCGTTTTAAAAGGTATATATAATAGCAATTACCATTTTAGATACTAAAGTTTTATTATTCCGCAATTAGGAATTAAGGTTATGGCGAGATTTATACACATCCACCATAGCATCCTTATCTTAATAACACTTATCTTATCTACATGTTGTTTCTTAGTTGCCCAACATTCTGTTCCATACAACATCGTTGGTCTAATAGCCGTTTTATAAAACTTTCATTTTAGTCTAGTAGTTACTCATTTATCGCACAGTACCCGAGACGCACTCCTCCACTTAAGCCACCCTACCTTAATTCTATGGACCACGTCCATTCCAATCTCCCTAGCCGTTTTGATAATTGATTCTAAATAACGAAAATGCTCACTCATAGGTAGTTCATAGTTCTTAGTTCTCAATCTTCACTTTTCTTCTCGTTCTATTGTTACTATTACTAAAATTACGCTCTATGTACTCTGTATTAATTCTACTTATCCTAAATCTTTTAGATTCAAGTGTTTCTCTCTAAATCTTTTAGGTACTCATTTGTCGCACAGTACCCGAAACGCAATCCTCCACTTAAGCCAACCCGCCTTAATTCTACGGACCGCATCTGTTCCAATCTCCCTAGCCGTTTTGATAATTGATTCTAAATAACGAAAATGCTCACTCATAGGTAGTTCATAGTTCTTAGTTCTCAATCTTCACTTTTCTTCTCGTTCTATTGTTACTATTACTAAAATTACGCTCTATGTACTCTGTATTAATTCTACTTATCCTAAATCTTTTATATTCAAGTATTTTTCTCTAAATCTCCAACTTAGTATTAACCCTTTCTCTAGTCTCATCCATTAACACGATATTATTTGTAAAAAGCATATATTATGAGACATCATCCTAAATATTTCTCATCAATTCATCCATAATTGAAGCAAAAATATCTCATGAGTCATACCTTTAAAAAAAAATTAAAAAAAAAAAATCATAACCAAACACACATGAGGCATAACTAAAAATCTCATGAGTCATAATTAAAATATAATATCATAATTAAAGAAGAAAATTAGTCATAACTAAAAAAAATAATATAACTAATGATACATATGATGCATTCATTTTAAAAGGTATATATAATAGCAATTACCATTTTAGATACTAAAGTTTTATTATTCCGCAATTAGGAATTAAGGTTATGGCGAGATTTAGTAAAGTGATTTGTAGGTGGATAATGTTAACCCGTTTGTGGTGTTATTGGTGTGGTGTTTGTTCCTTTTTGTGGTGTTAGTGCATGTTATAACATTAACATTAATTAACATCCAGACGTAACACTAATATAACACATAAAAAAAATTCTTACTTCACTTTTTCTAAACGTAACTCTCCAATATAATGCTCTAAAAACACATCTTAATGTAACACTCTAAAGTAATATACACAAAAAAAAAAAAAAAAATAATTATTATAACACTCTAATGTAACACACAAAAAAATTTCTTAGTGTATTTTTCTCAAACATAACACTCTAATATAACACACAAAAACTCCATAGTGTAACATACAAAAAATATTTATTGATGTACTTTTTCCAAATATAACGCTTTAATATAATACTTTAAAAAAACTCTTTAGTGCAACACTCTAATGTAACACACAAAAACTCTTTAATGTAACATTCTAATATAACATACAAAAAATTTTCTTAGTGTACTTTTTCCAAACGTAACACTTCAATATAACACTTTAAAAAAATTTCTTAGTGTAACATTTTAATGTAACACACACAAAAATTCTTTGGTATACTTTTTCTAAGCGTAATGCTCCAATGTGACCGGAAAAAAAATTCTTAGTGTACTTTTCTTAAACGTAACACTCTAATGTAACATTAAAAAAAAATTAAAAAAAATGTGAGATTCTTTAAACCATTCCAAAAGGAATACAAATATTCCTTAGTAAGTTTTGAACAAATGTATAATTTCAAACTGTGAGTGTTACGTTTGAAAAAAATATACTAAGGAGTTTTTTTTAGTGTTTTTGGGTGTTACATTGGAATATGTTAAATTGGAGTGTTACGGTTGGAATTACACTGATTGAAGTGTTACATTTAGAAAATTGATACTAAGGAAATTTATTTTGTTATTATTATTTTTTTATATTGGAGTGTCATGCTTGGAAAAAGTAAACCAAAGAATTTTTTTTTTTGAGTGTTATGTTGTTACGTTTGAAAAAAATACACCAACGAGTTTTTTAGTGTGTTACGTTGAAGTGTTACGTTATTGGAGTTTGGGGTACCCCTAAACCTCTGGAGCTCAAATACATTCAGAAGGATTGGAAGCATATGGGGCAAGGTGGTATTCTTGGATGATAATATTGGGGCACTGATATCATTTAGAAGTGGCAGATTCAAATTAGTTACTGATGTAATGGATCCGATTAATACAAGTATCAATCTAGAGTGTAAAGGACGAGTATATCCTATTCGAGTATTTGAAGAGCACGGTGCTGTGGATAATAGCCTCAGTTGTAAAGAAACACTCTCTAAGGAGCCAGTTGAAGCTGTCTGATCAAAAATCCATGGTGTAGTCCAACTCAGTCAAAAACACAAACTAGAGGAGCAAGATGGTGACATAGCAGATGACACGGCAAAGAGCGTCTGCTAGAACCAATAAGGGTATGACATCTGGGATGAAGGCTATGGATGAGCTGGCTGTAGAAGGTAGCTGGAGTAACACATCAGTTGTAGCAGAGACTGTAGCTTGCATTGGGAATTCAAATGAAGAAGGCACATGTGTGGCTGAATCACTACTGACAGTAAAAAGCCTACACCAGAGGAGTAATCATTTTGCCCAAAAAGGTGTAGAAGATCAGCTAGCTACAGATACCCTACAGAAGAGGGTTGAGTGCAATCAAGATCCTCAGTTTAGTCCCTTAGTTGGCCCCACAGTTGAGGATCATACCCTTACCTCAGGCTTTATTAAAAGCCTTAATAAGACTTCAAAAGTTAGGCCTGGCATTTGTATAGAGATTGCTATAGGCCATGCTCAAAGTGGGCTGCAGCCCAATGAGCCAAATCCCCAACTAAATCTGCTACCCACTGGGCCTTTTAATATTGGACCTAATACTCTAGTTATGAAGCAGTTGTGTGAAGCATCTGGTGGGTGTCCACAACCTAAGGCCAAGGGCACTTTCAGGCCATCATCTTCAGGATCCACCAGCAGTCGTTTAAAGAAAGGCAAAAGGAAAGGTACTAAAAGAGAAGGGATCAAACAATCTTTATTTGCAGGAAGATTTTCTAGATTTGCAAGAAGGGTATGGCACAAAGGGGCCGGCTCAAGCACTGGGTTCAAAAGAGGAATTAGAGCTAGATCTTCAACTATTCACTCCTCACCCAGTCACACATCAGAATCAATTCACACCTCCTCTTCAAAGGAAATTCTTCAAGAGGCTCTTGAAACACTTCAAGTAGGGGAAACCTTGGGGATTGACTACAAGGGCCAGGAATCTGAGGTTGTCAAGAAATTCATACTTATGGAGGAGCAAGATAAAGTGAGAATGGCTGGTGGTACTGCTGGTGTGGAATAACAAGCTTCCTGATGGGTGAAATCTGGAGTATAACTGGTATACATGAAGATTCTAAGTTGGAATGTCAGAGGTCTAGGAAGGCCTGGAAAGAGGAGGAAAATTAGAAAGATTTTGCATGATAAGGCAGTAGATATGGCTTTGCTTCAAGAGACAAAGCAATCATGTGTTGCACACCTGAGGGTAAAAAGTCTTTGGCCTAGAGACAAGATGGAATTCATGACTGTAGATGCTGCAGGACTGTCTGGGGGATTAATTTGTATCTGGGATCCTGATGTCTTTCATCTCTCAGATTGTTGTAGCAGCAGGAACTTTATTCTCTTATCAGGTAAGGTTCACAATTTCTTTGACTGTGTTTTGGTTAATGTTTATGCCCTTAATGATGTATCAAGGAGGCAGGCCTTATGGGTGACCCTGTTAAATTTGAAAACAATTTTTGTAAACCCATGGTGCCTTGGTGGAGACTTTAATGAAATTAGGAATGTGAGGGAAAGAATAGGAGTTTCTCGCAGGGATAGAGGCATGCAGGAGTTTAATGACTTCATTGATAATTATGAGGTGGTAGATGTCCAAATGCTAGGCAAAAAATTCACTTGGTGTAATACTCTTGAAGGGAAAAAGTGGAGTAGAATAGATCGATTTCTTCTTAATCCTAAATGGCTAGTGAGATATAAACTCAAACTATGGGGTCTTCCAAGAACTATTTCTGGCCACTGCCCACTTCTTCTCATGGAGGATGGTAGGGACTGGGGGCCTAAACCTTTCAAATTTCTGAATGCATGGACCTTACATCCAACACTGGCTTCCTTGGTAGAGAGCAATTGGGGAGATCTTTAATTGTCTGGACCTGCAGGATCCATCCTGAAGAGGAAATTACAGTCCCTGAAGTTGGCCCTAAAAAAATGGAATCAAGAGACTTATGGTAATGTTGCAAAAAAATTAGAAGCCTCTGAAACTGCTCTGCATGATCTTGATCTAAAAGCTGAAACTAGACCTCTGGATGAAGATGAATTGATGTTGCAAAGAGAGAAAAGGAATGAAATGTGGTCACTGAGCAGGAAGATGGAATAAGAGTGGCTCCAAAAATCTAGATTGGACTGGAATCTGAAAGGGGATAGGAACACCAGGTTTTTCTATGTCATGGCCACTAGTAGACAAACCAGGAACATTATCAACTCCATCACAGTTAGGGGTGTGAATCTTGAGGACCCAGCTTCTATCAAGTATGAGGTTTGGCTTCACTTTGCAAACCTGTTCAAAGATGATTGGAAAATGAGGCCAACTCTGAAAGGTGAATTCAAAAGTATCAGGCTTAGTACCCACTTTCATGTTCTTGAAGCAGACTTTGCTGAAGAAGAAATTTGGGCAGCGGCAAATGATTGTAATGGGAACAAAGCCCTAGGAGCAAATGGCTTTAATTTGTTGTTTTTTCATAAATTTTGGAAGGTGCTTAAAGGTGAAGTCCTCAAATTTATGCAAGAGTTTCATGCTAGTGGCAGCTTAATCCCAAGTTTGAATAGCTCATTCATTACTCTTGTCCCTAAGAAGGAGAAAGCTCTATCACTAAATGAATTTAGACCTATTAGTCTGATTGGGTCCGTCTACAAAATTCTTTCTAAAGTCCTAACAAATAGATTGAAGTTAGTTATGCCTTCGATAATTAGTGATTCACAATCTGCCTTTCTGGGGGGTAGAAACATCTTAGATGGGGTCCTGATTGCAAATGAAGTTGTGGATAGCTGGGTCAAATCCAAGAAAGCTGGATTGCTCTTTAAAATAGATTTCGAGAAGGCTTTTGACTCCATCAACTGGAATTTCCTCTTTTCAATGTTAGCAAATTTTAGTTTTGGCGAAAAGTGGATCTCTTGGATACAGAAGTGTGTCTCTACTGCTAGAATTTCTATCATTGTCAATGGATCTCTGTAGACACCCCATTTTTGACCGACCTTAAGACTCAGACGTCACCAACTGAGCGCTCGGTGATGTTGCATATTGTGCTCGTTCTGAGGTTGCGGAGACTCGGCTGCGAGCCTTGCCTCCGGACTTCGGGGCTCTTTTGTGCTTTGTCTCGGTTTGCGAACCAGGTCCTGCTTTCTCTGTTTTCTCTTCCCGAAGGAAGGGAGAGGTCTCGTAGACCATCTCTCAGTGACTGTAGGCTACGTTTCGTGGTCGTAGGCCATTTTTCCCGTTTGGAGCCCAGTTTTTGGTTTTTAGAGCCGTCGGCCGTGTGCCTCGATTCGGAACCGCTTAATTACTTTCGTTTGCTCCGATTTTTGGCACACACCTTATTTACTCCCTTTAGAGGGACACTGTGGCCCGGGAGACCACCTTCGTGGTCATACGCCACTTCCGGTGCCTAACAGCCTGTTTTGGGGGCCTCGAACTGTGCATTTTGGCCCCTGAACCCTCGTTTTGCATCCGTCTTGGTCCATTTTTGGTAGGGACCCTATTTTCATTGTTAGGGAGGTGGTAGTATGGTGAGAGGCCACCTTTTCCCCTTGGAAACCAGTTTTCTCTTTTTCTCTCTCCTAAAGCCGGTTTTTCTGATAAAAAGCTGGTTTTTCTCACTTTTGAACCATAATTTCTGGCTTTTCATACCACCCTTGTGTTATGCTCATCTGGAAGGCCACCAATATGGGTAGGCCGACCAGTAATTCTTCTTGACCCTTTTGAACCTTGCTAAAAAGCTGGTTTTCCTCTCTCTCTTGGGTCACTTTTTCTGGTTTTCCACCATACAGCTGTGTTGCACTCATCTGGGAGGCCACCAATCTGGGGTGGCCGACCAGCATTTCACCTTGAACTTTTTGACCCCTGGTCGGCCGACCAAGGGGAGTGACCGGCCGGCCACCTTAGCTGGTCGGCCAGCTTTCTGCTTTTTGCTCTTCTCAAGTGCAACACAGTTGTGCCAGCTGTGAAGCATTTGACCCACTGTCCGAGACTTTGACCATCTTTTTGATCATTTTTAGTTGGTTTTGACCCCCTTGCTTAGCTTCTTAAAGAAGCTTGACTCTTTTGCCAAGCTTCTTGAGGAAGCTTGAACCTTTTGGTCTAGCTTCCTCAAGAAGTTTGACCCATTTGGTTAAGCTTCTTTGAGAAGCTTTGACCCTCTCTTAAGGCTTCTCCAAGAAGCCTTGGCCTTCTTCCTCTATAAAACCAACACTCCCCCTCCATTTGCAAGGGTTAGAAAGTTTTGGCTGGAGCATACATACAACTCCCTCTATCTCTATACTTCAAGCCTCCAAACCCTAATATTCTTGCACCATTTGCACTACACCTCATAGCCTACCACCTCCACCATCCATTCCAGCACCTTGGAGGTCATTTGCAGAGGTTGAGAGCTCACATTCTTGGTCCAAAGGTTGCTGCATTGCTGTGCTACAAGGGTAAGTCTTTATTTACCCCCTTTTTGCACTATTTTGCTCTATACTTTAGCTCCATTTGCGAGCATTTTCGAGATTTTCCATGAACTGAAGAAAGTCTTGTTTTGACCTCCTCTTTAAGTTTGATTAGGTCACTTTTCTGTTTGGAGTCATCTTCTTCCTTGCATGTTCATTTCCTCATGCTTTGAGCCATGCATTTGAGCATTTGCATTGGCCTTGTTTTGGTCTCTTAGCCACTGAAATCCAGTGGATTTTCAGTGTCTTTGATGTGTCTTTGAGCTCCAAAATCATAGAGGGGTGACCTTCTCACCCCTTATTCTCTTTACTAGCTTTGTTGGCCTTCCAAAGGAGCTCCATTTTGCATGTTGTGAAGTCACATTTCAGTCCTTATTTTGTGAGTTTTATGGTCTGCATTAGCTCTGTCCGGAGCCCATTTTTCCATATTTTATGTCTATGATACATGTGTAGAGCAATCCTATTCAAGGCCTTTCAAAGGGACCTTTCATTGCATGCTTCCTAGACCAATTCCAGGGCCTATTTGGTGAGTTTTAAGGTTGTTATAACTCATTTCCAGAGGTGATTTTGCCCTTTTGTGTGTCCATCATATAGGTGTAGAGTAACCCCTTGCATGGCCTTCTAAAGGAGCTCATCATTTTTGCATGCATTGACTGAGTTTCAATGGTTATTTGGGCATATTTTGGCATGGCATACATCCATTTTTGGCTGGTTTAAAGAGCTTTCATATGCTTCACATAGTTGTAGAGCAACTCATGGTTCACTAGCTTTCTTTGCATGCTTTGTTGGACCTTGATTTTAGCACATTTTGGCCATGTCTTAAACTGATAATGTGCTTATTTTGGACTGCCCTAGCTCTATTTTTGGGTCTTGTGGTTAAATGATGTTAGTTTTGCATGCATGTAGTTCAAGGTCCATGCTTAGCTTTGAGTTTTGAGATCCATTCCATGCATATACTAAGGTATTTTCATGCCTTGGGGTCATTTTTCATCAAATTTTAGAGCTTATACGAATGCCATGTTGCCATGTTTTCATCTCTTTAAATGCATTTGAGAGTCGGGCTTGTATGCCTCATTTACCGACCATTGAATGAGCGTCATTCCGTTGCATTCTGAGCCATCATTTTAGGCCATTTTTCCACTGTTTTAGACCTGCCTAGGATCTGTTTGGGGTTGGTTTTGCCTTTGGTGCATTGCTTTGGGTACCTCTAGTGTAATGCACTTCACTAGTTTCGGTACCTGGGCCACTAGCTTGCATTGTGTGCCATATTTGCATGTTTTGGGACCATATTTCATGCTGTTTTAGAGCTATAATTTAGGCTATTCCATGTCATGTTTCATCCTTACCATGCTTTGGTAGAGTGGCATTTCATGCCTTAGGTTCGGTCCTTGGTATTCGTGCATGTGTGCACGCATTTCAGGTGTCTCATTTTCATCTAATGGCCACTAATGTGAGTGTGGCTGAGGTCCACTCATGTCGGTGTAAGTCCATCGTGCATTGTGTATGCCATTTCGGTCCATAGCATTGTGTATGCTGAGTTGCATGTTAGAGCATTGTGTATGCCATTTCATAGCATTGCGTATGCTAGGTTGTATGTTAGTCGCATTGTGTATGCCATCTCATTTGCATTGTGTTTGGGATAGGAGTTAGCCCAAGCACGGGAAACGAGGGACGTTTTGTACTCCGAGTGACGGAACGTGTCTCAATTCCTGGTCGCCGACACTCCGGATTACCCATGATAGAGTTTAGGTCTTGTTGTGTTTATATTTGCATTCATTTCACATCGAGTCGTGCAATTCGACTCCTCGGCCATCATGCATCGAGATGCATGATTGGTGACACGAGGATCGAGGACTACACTCCCTGAAGAGTAGTCATGCATACATATGTGAAAATACTTTGAAGCAAATCAGAAATCAACAGCCTTCCGAAGCCTCGCACAACATTCCGGGATTAAGTGTAAATAGAGGCGAATCGGGGCATCGCAATGGATTTCCGCGCCAAGCAACTCAAGCATGCATCTTTCATCATTCGGAACAGAGCCGAGGCGGTCCATAGCTTGCATGCTAATTTACTTGCTTTCCTAGTTAAACTGTTAATTAATTAGGGTTTTGTACTTATTCGAACTGTAATTATTATTCGGAATGTATTATTTATTCGGACCCTTCAAACGAGGGCACAATTGTAATAAGTGTGCGTGCGTGTGATGTATGTCTTCCAACCCCACGTCTTTCTCCCTTTTATTTACCCGCTTATGATGGTTAGATTAGGGCATGTTTCAATTAGCATACTTATGCTTGCATGTTTGCATCATTTATCTGTATTGCATGCACCGGGCTCGGCGCATCATACTAACTGCATTGTATTTCAATTCCGGGTTGGATACTTGTTAGTTGTAGCATTTCGCATACCATCCTTAGAATAGCCGAGCGTACTATAGTTGTATTTTGCATGTGTTGCATTAGGCATTTCAGCATAGTTAGGATTCATGCATGGATTTCTAACAAAGCTTTTGTTTTGGCTTAGAGTATTCGGTAAGTTTTATGCTTTAGCATCCTTGCATGTGTGTCAGTGCCTGCCATGATAGCATGCTTACCATGAGGCTATGTGCTTATGTGATATACCTACTTGAATGCCTGTGGGTGAAGGTTGGGTTATTTGGATTGGAACAACTCA